TATTACTAGCCATCAGGTCATCACTCTGGTGAAGACAGTCATCATCCACTACTTTATATATGTATTACGAGCTATCAGGTCACTCTGGTGAAGACAGTCATCATCCACTACTTTATATATGTATTACGAGCTATCAGGTCACTCTGGTGAAGACACTCATCATCCACTACTTTATATATGTATTACCATCACAGAACATGCAAAGAATGTATTTAGATATTCTTTATAATTCCATAAAAACTAGCAAATAACTTAACTGTCCAATCTCAGTGAGTATACGATTATAAGCAGTATATACTATATTACATGTGTATAAACAGTCTCTTCACTTCCAGATTGGGCAACTGCAGAATGAGGAGAATTAAATAACTGACGTGGCATTTGTCCAAATGTTTTGATCATTGTCTGTAGGGCTTTACGTTTCAGGGGGTCTTCTGTCTTGTTAACATCCACACCATAATAAGTCTGAAACACAAAAGAAAATTGGTATTAATCTTAGAATTAAAAAGAAAAATAGTCTTATGCAATGTAGCGGCATAGGCAAGATATTAATACTTCTGTAATAAAGTAGTGTCATACAATGTAGATGTGTTAGATATTAATACTTTAGATTTTCTCAAAGATTGATATAAGCTTCACTAATATATTATCTAACTTCATACAGTAAAGATTTTGAAAGCTTTTATTTACATAATTGAAAAATTCAATTCACTAAAATTGAATCATAAAAACTACAAACTAACAAATTCTCAGGCATTCAATAAAAGATGAAAGAAAGTAGGAAGAGAATTAAATATTTCTGGGGTGTTGATATGGCAATGTGGTTATCCAAGGTTATAACTGTACACAGCTACTCAATGTCTGCTAAAACAAGAGGTTCGTGGATCTAATATGTTGAAGGAAAAGTGTAATGGAAATGACAAGACATGGTTTAAGCTAGAATCAAAAACAATCGTGAGGGTGGTCTGTTGTGATGATGTAAAACATGTTTAAAGAGCTGTATTAAAAGTTTAAGTAAAATTAACCCACATGAGCAGAAGATAAAAGTTCAAAACAGACAAAATTTTGCCTTAAATGAGTTTATTCTCATCAAATGTCAGAATCAATCTCTCTCAAAATGTGTCAAACCAGCATATCTAAAGCACATCAAAATGCATAAATATCTGTGCTCCATATTATAGCCACACGGTATTCTCATATCAAAATTTCAAATAGAAGTATGCTATGAAACAACAGGTGAGTTTGCTTCACCGGTCAAGCCACAAAAAGTAACACCTCAGACTGTAACCTGAACCAGATTAAGTTCCAGAAAGAGAATTTAGGAAAGTAATTAATTTTGTAAATATGATATATATATATATATACACAAGTACAATGGAAGTATAAAATCTGCATAATAGAGCAACACTACATATACAAACCTCATGATATCTAATCTCCTAAGATGCAGAGATAATAAGAAATGTTTATTTTTATAAATGAGGTTTTCTGGTATTTTTAACGATTTAGAAATTAAAATAATGATTTTGTTTTGTTTACCAAAAAAGATTTACAACTTAGCCAGCCAAAATGACAAGTTTTCGACAAATTTTTTTATTGTAAAACTAATAAAGTATTACAAGTGACACATGAACAGAGGCCAATAAAACACGTAATACGTTTCAGAGCATCAGTTTGAAGAAGGAAACTGGGTGTGTGGCCATAATATACAATAGAGATAGAAAAACCACTCAGATGCAACTGATCTTGTTCTGAATTATTCATCCATCTAAAAATAAGATTAAGTAGTTGCATAGAAAGTGTGTTGAAAACATCAATAAGCTAAACATGTATGTTACTGATGAGCTTCTGCTACAATGATTTGACCAGAAAGCAAAGTGTAATGGAACTGAAGCTACTGACATCAAAGGCACTACTGAATGAAATGGAAGAACTAGAACTAAGGAGAGTAATGTCAAACCTTTCCTAGCTGTTCATCAGTCAAAGGAAGAGTAGACAGCACTTGAATGTGCAATGCACTCCCACACAAGTCTGCAGCGGTGACATCGACCTCTACATCCTTACACGTCTGCAGCGGTGACATCGACCTCTACATCCTTACACGTCTGCAGCGGTGACATCGACCTCTACATCCTTACACGTCTGCAGCGGTGACATCGACCTCTACATCCTTACACGTCTGCAGTAGTGACATCGACCTCTACATCCTTACACGTCTGCAGTAGTGACATCGACCTCTACATCCTTACACGTTTGCAGCTGTCACATCGACCTATACATCCTTACACGTCTGCAGCGATGACATTGACCTCTACATCCTTACACATCTGCAGTAGTGACATTGACCTCTACATCCTTACACTTGGGAGTGAGAATCAAAAATTGGTTAGCTGATAAAGAAATAATCAATGACTGAAAGGGAACTGCCAGTTTTACTTCTTGAGCACTTGGGTTGAATTTTTTAATGAAATATTGTTATTCTTTTGATTACTGTTTTCACAAATCGTGCAAGGTAACAGCTAGTGAAGCTCAACACCATTGTCACTTTCTAGGTGTTATTCCATGGACAACTTAGTCGAGGTTCTATTTACTATCAAGTTTGTGGAAAAGGATGTTAATGATCGTGGATCATCCCTCCTGGTCCCTGTTTTTCAGGTCATTTCATTTCAAAGGATGAAGGTCAAGACAAAATACTAACGATGAAAATAGCAGTTCATCTGACAAAATATATAAAAAAAGGAGTATCAAAGAATGTTGTGTCTTCATTGTTTGGGTGCCTTGTTCTCCACTACTGCCAGCCACCAGATACCATCCACCCCAAATACTAATATAACAAAATAGCCAAACATGAAGTCTTTTGGGCATGTTGTCTATTTGATATCAAAAATGATGATGCTACCTCAGGGAGATTTTGGCTCATCTCTGGAAAACACATGGTCTTAAGAAACCTAACTGACACTTTACTACATCACTAAGGTTCAATTTCCTGATTGGTCAGCTACAGTGAGAAGGTTAACTGTAAGTGGTGTGTTGACATTTACAAACATTAATTTCTTGCTTGAGTAATGTTCTATCATTTCATCCATTTGTCTGCTGATTGTGTACATTTTCAAGTAAAGCTTATTTTATTTTTCCTTTAATTAAAAGCAGTTTCTTTCAATTTTCATTTTAATAGCTTATGCTAGCTTAATTCCTAACCATGGTGCAACAGTCCTACCTTACAAACAATCGTTCGTTTCTTTAACTTCACATATATTCTCCTCTTTCTTATCCCACTAATAACAAATCACTACACATGCTCTTCTTCATACTAAGTCCTTGGACCTCAAGTTATTCTTAGGTTTAGGTAACTGTGTGTTAAGCTTATCCTTGGAATATAACACTATTCCAAGACTCCCCTTAGTGTTTACCTGTTTACCTTTATATTACACAAGTGAGTTTCATTACATTGCTTCACAAACTTAATGAGAAGTTAGGATAAACTGTCTCACACTTCAAACCTTCATTTTACTTTACATACATTGTACTGTATTCTACTCAAACAAAACTGGAAAATTATGGTTATTTTATATATCAATTACCTTTAACCCATGATTTACTGATATAATGGCTTCCATCAGTTGTTAAGCATATTTTCTTAAATTATTAATGCATCACAATAGTGTGGACCAATGGCTATTGGTTACAGGATCTCCAACAATATACGAGTTGCATAAACAAAAACTATCAATATCAGAACTACACCACTAATTACTGCTCTGGTCTCCCACATGTTTACACAGGAAGGGAAGTGAGTGATATTAGCCAATCTTATCATTAAACTGAGTATTGTAATAGGCAAAAACATAAAATTACTGAATATGATGAACATGTCAACCCTGTTGTTCGTGAGCACTATCAATACAAATAAGAGTTAAAAAGTAGACTTATAGCCGGGTGGAACATATTAACAACTACTACTAGAGTTAGAGTAGACTTATAGCTGTGTGAAACACATTAACAGCTTTTACTACAGTTAAAGAGTATACTTATAGCTGGGTGAAACATATTAACAACTTCTACTAGAGTTAGAGTTAAAGAGTAGACTTATAGCTGTGTGAAACACATTAACAGCTTCTACTACAGTTAAAGAGTAGACTCATAGCTGGGTGGAACATATTAACAGCTTCTACTAGAGTTAGAGTTAAAGAGTAGACTTATAGCTGTGTGAAACACATTAACAGCTTCTACTACAGTTAAAGAGTAGACTCATAGCTGGGTGGAACATATTAACAACTACTACTAGAGTTAAAGAGTAGACTCATAGCTGGGTGGAACATATTAACAACTACTACTAGAGTTAAAGAGTGCACTT